GCCAGTGGGTGCGGATGCGGGTGACGATGGGAAGAGCAACAGGCAGCATCGAGAGAGCTACTGCCATCAGTTGAATAAGGACGGCAGCAGCTGACTCTCCCTGAACCGTGGAAAAAGGTTATGATTTTGAGAATTATATTGTAAGGCCTATTTTGCACAATAGTTCCCGTGAAACTTTCCTTGTTGCATTTGTCATATTCCAACAGCGTATTGTCTGAAGTGGGCCTTTTATTATTGCAGGCTAAATACCCATATTAGTATTTTAATTCAACTCCATTTGCCAAGAAGGTATTTTAAATAAAAAAATCGGCGTTAAGGTATTTTAATTGATTAAAATTACCAATTAGGTCCTTTTTCTCGTCGGCGACCACTTTTCCGGCGAGAACTCGTCACGTGCGTGACACGTGATGACTTAATCTGTGTTTTAGCTGATGATGTGGCTCGGTTTGCTGATGTGGCTCGGTTTTAGCTGCTGATGTGGCTTAATCACAATTTAAGTCTAAAACGAACCAACCTGAACCCTAAAAATTTTAAAACAAAGATCAAACTTCCACGCATTCACTCCAGATCTTAGATCCAACTCAATTATCTTACCTTTACCGCTAACAGAAGCAGCCAAAACCCCCGATTCCAGGAACTTCTAGAAGAAAACGCCATGGGAATTCGGAGAGAAAAGAGTGAGAAGACGAAGATCAATGCAGACTAGATTGCCGCCGGCGCGGCCATGGATCGATGCAAGAGAAAGATGTTCTATTTATACGGTAATTTCTCCACTAATTTTTCGCTAATTTTTTTTACCAATTTTAGAAATGGGGGACTTTAAAATGCATCGACTCTTATTCTTCCTGCCACTGCCACGTCAGAAAACCGGTTGAATTAAAATGCACGTGACGAGTTCTCACCGGAAAAGTGGTCGCCGATGAGAAAAATGACCTAATTGGTAATTTTAATCAATCAAAATGTCTTAACGCCGATTTTTTATTTAAAATACCTTCTTGGCAAATGGGGTTAAATTAAAATACCAATATGGGTATTTAGCCTATTATTGCATGACTTGGATTTCGATGAATGTAGTTTAGCTTGTGTGGCTAGAACTGAAAATAAAGTTGCTAATCTGGTATAATGGGCTAGACATAATTTAGTTTTGGACTATCATACATAATTAGATGTAATGCTACGTTTTTCGGCTGATGATGTTTTGTTTGATTTATAAAAGTAACAAAAGCACTATACCATTTCCATAATAAAAAAAGGGAAATCATGTTTGATAATGGTTTTGAGAACCGCCATAATATTCAAATCTTGTACTTGAAAAATATGATTTTTTTTATACGAAACCACCATGAAATATCATGGTTTCTTGGAAAATCACCATAAAATTTTCGGTTTTCACAAAACCACTATGAAAATTTGCACCATTAACAAAGTGTCACCAAGTAAAATTTTCCATCCTTATTTTGTTCAGTAATAGTATAAAATAACATAAATTCCCATTGTGTCTAAATTTTGGAGGGAGGGTTGGGGGTTGCTTGGGGAGACTTATTTATTTAAGGAAGTTAACTTAAGTTTTGGTGGGAAGGAAGGTATTTAATGAGGATGAGAAAATATAATAAAAGAAAGGTGGGTTCCACCGTAAGGGGATTTAGCATATTATTTAACAAAATATGAATGAAAATTATGGCTTGGTTGCGCTTTGTTAATAGTGCATATTTTCATGGTGATTTTACAAAAAATAAAAATTTTGTGGTGGTTCGTCGAATAAACATTATATTTTGTGGTGATTTCCTATAAAAACACCCAAAAAGTATGTATGTCACATAATAAATTTACTTTCATTTAAAATGAATCAAAATTAAAAAAATTTATGAATTATGGCATATGAAAGTTACAAATTTTGATGTAAACATAAAAAATTAACTTTCATTCGAAATGAACAAAAATTGACAAAAGTCATGGGTTATAGCTAAGGAATATCAAGAATTTTGATGTACACATATTTTATTTACATCCGTTCAAAATGAACCAAAATTGTTAAAATTTATGAGTTATAGCCTATGAAAATCATAAATTTTTATGTATACATAATAAATTTTCTTTCACTCAAAACATTCATTCAAAATGAATCAATTCAAAATTCATGGATTATAGTTCATGATATCGTAACATTTGATGTAGACATAATAAATTTACTTTCGTTTGAAACAAATCACAAATATAAAAATTGTCAAAAATCATACATTATAGCCTATGAAAATCATACATTTTGATGTGCACATATAAATTTAGTTTGTTCAATATGAATCAAAATTGATAAATTTTGAAGGTTATAGGGCATGAAATTGTGAATTTTAACGTAAACATTATTTATTTATATTTTTTTAAAATAAATCAAATTTTGTAAATTTCATGGGATATAGCTCATGAAATTGTGATTTTTATGCACAATAATTTATTTATATTTGCTCAAAACAAGCCAAAAATGTCAAAAATTATAGGTTATAGACCTTTAAAAGTGCAAATTTTAATGTACACATAAAAACTTTACTTTTTTAAAAAATTGAACCAAAATCTAAAAATTTGTGGGTTATAGTTCTTAAAAATTACAAATTTTGATGTACATATAATAAGTTTATTTTCATTCAAAACAAACTAAAACTAACAAAAATCGTCGGTTATCATGGGTTATAGGTCATAAAATAAAAAATTTAATGTGCACATAGTTTATTAACATTCGTTGAAAACAAACCAAATTTGTCAAAAAATCATGGGTTATCCTGTGAAAATTGTAAGTTTTGATATACACATAATAATTTTACTTTTGTTTGAAATGAATCAAACTTGATAAAATATGTGGGTTACAAGATCAAGAAAATAGTAAATCACTGCTGGATTTTCAACCTTTAGCGACAGATAAATCCGTCGCTATAAGTCATTTTTCCGTCGCTAAAAGTTTTAGCGACGGAAAAAATAAAGTTCCGTCGCTAAAAGTCGCTATAAGTCATTTTTCCGTCGCTAAAAGTTTTAGCGACGGAAAAAATAAAGTTCCGTCGCTAAAACTTCGACGTTATAACAGGGGTGCCTAAAACGACGGAAAAAATAAAGTTCCGTCGCTAAAACTTCGACGTTATAACAGGGGTGCCTAAAAACACTTTTAGGGACGGAAATGTCGTCACTAAATTTTAGCGACGGCTTATTAGCGACGACTAAGTGGTCGCTATTTTAAAAAAATAAAAAATTTAAAAAAAATAACGACGGACAAATCCGTCGCTAATATTCCTTTAGCGACGGAAAATCCGTCGCTAAAACGTTATTAGCGACGGTAAAACCGTCGCTATTATTTTTTAAAATATCCAGATGTGATTTCGTGCATGTTTTCCGTCGCTAAATAATTATTTAGTGACGGAAATTCTGTTGCTAAAATTGTATTTAGCAACGGAATTTCCGTCACTAAAAAATTTAAAAAAAGGAATTTGCAAAATGTTTTGAAAATTGAAAAAACCCTGTACAATATCGATAATAATTTTTAAAAACCTATTCAATCAGGAGAAGAAAGCTTCAATCTCATGCAAATATCACATCTCACGCATATATCACACATTTAATTCAATAAAAGAAAGTAAAAGTTTCTCGACAGGTACATAATAAATATTGTTTATATAACACAAGAAATTATTTTCAAAGTTATATTAAGGACAATCAATCATCCTGATCATCATCATCCTCATCCTCAACACCAGCCACATTATGACTACCCCCGGCTGCACCTTGTGAAGAAGTCCCGGCCTGTAAATATAAATCAAATGTTAACAAGTGTGTGTAAACGTTAATAAGAGTACAAATATAAATATATACTACAACACAACACCACAAAATCACAACACAACAACACAACACCACAACACAACAACACTACACCACAACACCACAACACATCACAACACAACACAACACTACACTACACAACACATCACCACACATCACACCACAACACCACCACAACTATTTTTATGTACACATAATTTATTTACATTTATTCAAAACAAAATAAAATTGACAAAATTTTTGAAATTTGATGCACACATAATTTGTATAGGTTTATTTAAAATTAATAAAAATTATAAAAATTTGTGGGTTATATCTATTTAAAATCGTAAATTTTGATGTACACATGAAAAAAATTACATTTGTTCAAAATAAACCACAATTGTAAAAATCATGAGTTATAGCCCATGAAAATCACAATTTTTTTGTGCACATAAAATTTGCTTAAAATGAACCAAAATTGAAAACATTTGTTGGTTAAAGCTCATAAAAATTGTGAAGTTTGATGTACACATATTTTATTTATATTCATTCAAAATAAACTAAATTTATCAAAACATATGGCTTATATAGCTCATGAAAATGTTAATTTTTTATGTATGCATAACAAACTTAGTTTTATTTGAAATGAACTAAAATTTAGAAAATTTATGGATTATAGCTCATGAAAATTGAATATTTTGTTATATACATAATAAATTTACTTCATTTCAAAATGAATTAAAATTGAAATATTTGTGGGTTATAGCTTATGAAAATCATAAATTTTAATGTACACATAATTTATTTGTATTTGATCAAAATGAAACAAAACTGTTAAAATTCATGTGTACACATAATAAATTGCAAAGTTTAATGTACACGTAAAAGTTGTAAATTTTAACGTGTACATAATAAATTTAAATTTCTTCAAAATGAACCATAATTATAAAAAATTATGGGTAATAGCCCAAGTCAATCGCTAATTTTTGTGTACACATAACAAATTTACTTTCATTCAAAAGAACAAAAATTGAAAAATCTATGGTTATCTCATGAAAATCATAAATTTTGGTGTACACATATTTAATTTACTTTCATTCAAAACAAACCACAATTGTAAAAGTCATGCATTATAGCTCATGCATAATAAATCTCTGTTTGTTTCAAATAAACCAAATTTGAAAAAATTCATAGATTATAACTCACAAAAATCATAAAGTTTAATGTAAACAATATTTATTTATATTCATTCAAAATGAAAAAAAAAATTCAAAACGGGGATAATATTCCATGAAAATCACAATTTTTAATATATGCATAATAAATTTATTTTCATTTCAAACACAGAAAAATTGAAATTTTCATGGGTTATAGATAATGGAAATCGTAAATTTTGATATATGTATGTAGG